CTTCATTAGGGAACAACACTGAAAATGAACACCTGTAATTAAACAGCTTTAATAAATGGTAGAGAAAATTAATCTTTTAAGGAGTCTAGTATTCCTGTTAGTCTTAGGTAGCATTCACCTAAATTAAAAAAATCAGTCCTACGATGTCATCTTAGCAGAACAGCACTTTGCATGCAGTACAGATGTAATGATTGGCAGATTACAGGCAAGCATTATGCCTGCAGCTTTAAGCTCTACACACTTAACTCCCTCCATATAAAACAAAATAAACTATTTTTGAGTGGCTAATATCTGCTACAGACTAATGAAAGACACCTTGGATAGGCAAACATAAAAAGGCAGGAACATTAAAGACGAGTAGCAGAACAGGTTAAGACCAAAGACACATTGAAATATATGAAAATACTACCACCTAAATATGTTTTATTAAAGTACACAGTTATACTGCATGGTATATTATTCACACAGTTTGATATACTAGATAGAATTATTGTGTTAGAGAAAGGTGCTTTACAAATGCTGTATTTGTATAGGCAATTAACTATAACTGCTTAATAAAAACTGGCTTTACTTCCAAACAAACATTTTGAGCAATCTGTAAATAGTGAAGCTGGTCCAGTAGGTAAATACATCTTTTTTTTTAGCAAGCTGGTGTAACTTCTTGCAGTTCGTCACAGCTCTGACATTTCAACTTCATCTTCTCTAAATGTTTCACTTTAGTTTAATAACCTACTTACCAAACTCGCAGTATATCCCTTTTTAAAGCAATACTTAGGCTTTGAGTCATACGATTCAATGTTATCTGTTTTATAATGGACATTTTAGTTAAAACTGCTGAATTTCTAACCATTACGATTACATTACTTCACTGAAAAACAGTACTGGATGCTCTACAGTACTGCAGTCTGTTAAATAGCACTTACACTGCAACCATAAGCTGTCAGTGTGGAGAACCTATCATTAAAGTACTGTCACTGTAGAATTACTTGTTTTTATTTTTCCTATATTTTACTGGGCTATATGTTGTCATAAATGTCAACAAACCTGTTATCACAGAATTATAAATACATCAGGATTCAGATTTGAATGGTTCTTAAGAGTTCTTTACTCAGATTTTTACAAAAAAATATATATATACATATTTTTCATCTAGATGTTCCTGTGGCTTGATTCATGGCTGCTAATGACATATTTGGAATACATTTCCAAGAAGCATCAGTGCTGCTGAAGTGAGTTTTCAAATAATGCATCAAGTGGCTCTTTTGAAAGCACAATTAAATTAGTTCTTTAACTTCATACACATAATTCAAAAGTGTTCTAAAATAGGAGATCTACTAATAAGCATTTCAATGTACCTTCCTTTGGTATTCATTAATAAGACAGTGGTTTCAGTGCCACTGGAGATGTTATTCTCAGGCTAAACAATTCCTTTAGAAAGTCTTATGTTGACACAGCATTTTCTGTTTCACAAACTGAAGTGAAAAATTACAGTTTGCTCTGCCTTAAAACAAGAGGCAATTGTTGACTGAAGTGAGGCTTTTAGAAGCAGCTCTTTATCTTCAGTGAGGTCATCAGTTTGTTAACTGCATATCATGCTTCCATAAGCTATGCAGAGTCCCCTTCAGCCATAATGCAAAATTTTATCTTAAGCGCCACAGTTACAAAGAAAAGCTTTTACTAGAAGAGAAGTGCTCATCAAATGCATCTATACACAAATAGTATGAGAAGAAAAGCACACAAAGGACATTACAACACAAAGGGAGGCAATATACAAAATCACCAAATGGTGTTTTGTTCCTCATATATTCAGATTTGATTAAACAATTATTCAGGCAGTCTCAAAACTGTTGATCAGCCTAAGCTATAATCCAGAGAAAATGTCTCTGAAACATTTTTAAAGAAATGCTAAGTGAAACCAAAAAGTTGAAGTTTTAATATCCTGAGTGTCCACACATGGAAGCAGTAAACTTACCTATTAAACATACATGCCAAGGGGGAAAAGAAAACACACTGTAACACAAAAAGCTCTGTTTATACCAGCGTACAAGTGCGAAAGGATCAGGAGAATGTGCTTCAGACAATGTGCCTGCTTTGAAGAATAAGGTGTTAAAGCAACAGCACAAACACAAAGAAACAATTGAATAGCCCCAGACAAAAAGACTAGTATTGAAGGTTTTGGTGGATACAGATTTTGCATCTCTTAGCTTAGCAGAAGAAAAGACGGTTCGGTCAAGAGCGTGAGGACTGAATAATTGTTTTCAGAATACCTATTGTAGAAAAAAAGCATTGCCTGAACACGTGTAGAGTTCTGAACATATGTAGACTTTTCAATAAGTTTCAACGGTAATAATTACAGATTAGGAGAAAATAGAAAAGTTATAGTGCCTGAATAATTGCTGTAGATTTAGCACACTGCACTAAACATGAGGTAAACATCTAGGACCAAGAACTAGATCTGAAAAAGGAGAGAAAACATCTAATGCTTGTTGCTAAGATACCATGAATTTCAAATCCACTATAATAAAAAAAAATATATCGTTCAGCATATAATCTAAGGACTCGCAGTTTCTTACATAATTAGAGAATGGTGTTTCTGCTTAATTATAGCTATTAATGAAGTAACATTTTTGAAGCAACCATACCACCAATTAATTTAAAACAAGTGCTCTCAGCCTGAATTTTTCAACATCATACATAATGAAGGCTTCAATACAGATCAATTATTTCCAAGGATGCATTATTCTGAGGAGAAAGGCAAATAAGAATTGATATCAGTACATCTATGACATTACTAGAAAAAAAAAGGATGAACCTATTAGCTAGAAATATACAATAACATTGATGCAGGCTATCAAAATAAAACTACTGTACATCATGATATTTCACCACTGCTTATGCTACAGTTGTCTTAACTAAACCATTTTTTAATTTCTTTACTTTTCAAAGTGGGTTATTTATAACAAGGTTTAATAAACCCTCAAGAATGTTTTTTTTTAATTTATAGAAGATGTTAAACCACAAAAAGCTAGTATGATGTCTGCAAGGCACTGAAGCCTGAAGAAATGGTTTAATTCAGGTACTGGAGCAGTGAATTGGGCGCTACTGAAGAGCCCAATTCAAGAACAAAAAAGAGAAAGTAAAGTTAGGCAATAAATGACGTAACAAAGGAAGGATCAAAATCAAAATAAATTCTCATATTTCTGAATTTTTAATGTAGTATAAACAGATTGCAGTAAGAATATTAACTCAGTTAAAAAAACGTTAATTGAAATTTCAGTATTAAAACAAAACATTTTCACTATAACAAACAATAGGACTTGACATATATATAGTTATTTTTATGTATTTATATATACCTTTCACTTAAGGGCAAGGTGAGGATAACACTTATTGATCAGTTAATCTGAGCTTCACTCTTTCAAATCACTCATCATCTCCTCAGTTATTAAAGAGAGGGGTAGTTGGTATTTATCATTATTCTCCACTCATTAAGAAAAACACTCCAGGTGCAGTTTCCACAATTGTCAGAGAGCCAAGAGTGTGATTGCTGATAGAACTTGGGGGTTTCTGCCTGCTGGCTCTACACAATGAATCATGCACACCTGCATCTAGTTAGCAGCACATATTTATTTTCAAAGAATAAACGCCACTCACTCGCAAAGAAGGTCCTCAAGACAAGACTTTCCTATCCTTTCCTTCACCTAAGCACAAGTACAGTGTGTACAAAACATGTTTCTAAATCAAAGCCTTTAATGATAAAGAACCATACAATAATTGGACCACCCTTGTCAGCTGTGTACTACCATGAGATGATGTGGTAAAAACTAACAAAAGATTTTGGAAGCTATGGATTATTTTGTGCATAAATATGATACTGTAAAAAAGGGTACTTAAAAGCTCAAATTCTGAATCATGGCAATCCAGTTAAATTTCAGTCAACTTCAAGGAAAACTGCACTTGTGGATTTTTTTTTAAATTTCTTACAGGCAATAATTTAATCCACTGAAGAAACTTGAGAATTTATTGTTTTCAGAAGAATGTTTAAGAAGTGACAAAAACGGAATATAAATACCTGTAATCTGTTTGATAGCATGCAGTTCTCAGAATTCACAGAATGACTAAGTAACAATTAATTTGGTACTGCATAAAATGTCCCATTGATTGATCTGTGGTCATTTGCCTTCAGTGAAATTGCCATCAAATTCCAATGAACTGACCTTTCTAATGAAAGTTCATTGTGAACAAATGCTGCAGACAGATAAATAATACTTTACAATTAGAAGCAGTAATGCCAAAGAAAAGTACTGCAACAAAAGGATTCAATAAATCAGAAAAGTGACAGCCTAATACATTATGGTAGGTTAAAGTCATTTAATATCTTAAGATGATCCCCTCAGATGTTTAGGATGAATTGCTGTCTAAGCTCTTTACTTCAGTATGACTTCATGACTTCAGATCCTCACAAGCACTACATCAGGAGACTTACATCAGAGATGAGTTTAATTAAGTACACAATCATAATGTCTGTCTTACCCAGCTAGAGTCAAAAGCAAGATGCAAGAAATCCTCCAAGGTGAACACATGTATCCAGTAAAATCATATAGTAAATTTATAACTTCTGTTCTTAGTAATTGTACTATTTTTTTACATTTACAGAATTCAGTTATGAAGTTTCATCTGGTCATTGCAAACACAAAGGCTGCAAAAGTCTGATCTTGCAAGAGCTGTTCTAAAAAGACTTCTTAATTGACAGTAACACATAGAAAAAGCTCTTTAGAAATCATTTTTTCTTGGAAAATAAATATCTTCAAATTCATGTGCCTTTAATGTGCCTTTAATGTCACCTGTAATATCAATAACGTGCTTTGAGAATTCTAAGACTTCCAAAAGCACCCATGTCTTTAAGGCATTTTCTGACAGCAGATGAGAGAAATACTATGCATTTTTTATCCCCATACTTCAACTTGCTCGTTAACACTGCACATTTTTTTTCCTCATAGAAACCATGGTGAGCAAGGAATCCAGTAAATGCCTGCTCACAAACTCAGAGTCAGAGACTGAGGCTGCTGCATCACTGGCCTTGGAGATGAAATACTCCCTGGATCCCAACCGGCAGATCAGAAAGCGGAATAAGGCCCTGCAGGTAAGATTCAAGGACATCTGTGAAGCCCAGAATGAACAAAGGGAGGCAGCCCAGCAATCAGAGCGGAAGAGCGCAAAGCCCATCTCTTACAAAGTGGCGTACCGCAAATATATGACAGTGCCAGCAAGGCGGTCCATTCCCAACGTCACCAAGAGTACCGGCGTGCAAACTTCTCCTGACCTTAAAAAGCGCTATCAAACGTTCCCGTTTGAGCGCAAGAAAGGACACACTATTAAACATGCTGCAGCCGTGGAAGGTTTTAAAAGTCACAACAATGGATTTGTAATCGACGTTAAGGGTAATAAAGACAAAGAAAGCTCAGGGGAGGCTGCTCAGTGCAGCAGGAAGGTCAGCGATCAAAAACAAGCGATGTTGACTTCACATACTAATGACTGTGTAACAACAGTTGATCAACATTCCAGCGGCAACTGTTCTGATGGAACCACATGCACAGAATCCTTGTTGGTCAGCTGTTCTAAAGAGACTCCCTGCCTCCCAAACCCCACAGACTCCAGTATAGAGGCAGATTACCAAATTTGCAGTGTTAAAACAAAAAACCATAAAGGATTACAGCAAGGAGAAAAGGACCCTAAACCATCTGCAAAGAGGCAAATGCTAAACTTTGAGGAAACCTCTACCAGACCCCTGCAGGACACGGGTGCAAAGGTGATGGGTCCTATTGCCTGGAACTCTTTAACACAGGTGGAATGCTTGGAAAGTCCTTCAATGAGGGGTAAACGTAAGAAAGGGCTGCAGCTCAATGGATTGCAGACACAAATATTGTCTGGTCAGGCTTGCTCCATACAGACTCAGTGCCACTCAAGTAAGTGCACTGATCAGCCTCTACAGATCCAGGCTGCTCCTGCCATGGAAGGTCAAACATGCCAGAGCAGTGCAGTGGCTGTGAGTGAAGCCTGTCAGCAGATTGTGCCCGTCGCACAGGATGGGGACCTAAAAGCACAGCTACAGGTTATGGAAAACCTGATCAGTTCCAGTCAGGAGACCATTAAAGTGCTGCTAGGAGTCATTCAGGAGCTGGAGAAGGGGGAAGCTCACAGAGAGGGGTAAGATATTCATAATCCCTTATGGAGCAGCTCAGCCTCAGTACCTTGAGCACAAATCTTTTAATAAATAGCTTCTTTGTATCAGTAATGGAACATGCATGTTTACTGTGATACTGCTCTAACTTAACATCAATATTTTTCACCTGCTCATCCTGGAAAGCCAAATCATCCACTTAGTAAAAGGGAAGAGCTTTTATTTACTGTGTCTTTACTCAGATCACTTGCATTAAAATAAAAAAAATGAAAGAACAAAAGCTGAGTTTGTGTACATTCAGCAACCTAAAGTGAACTACTGCACTGAGTGTGAAAATGTGATCAAGTGTGAACCAAACAGCACGGGTAATCAAGGCACAGTGAAGGAGTAAGATTGCCCTCCCTAGTTCACTGAAGTTAAATGTTGCACTACACAACACAGTCAACCACTGCACAGTGAACAAACCAATGACATACAGTAGGAATTTCAGAGGAGTGGGGTCCCTTAGTGCTACTATGAGTAAATAGTGTGCTTGAAGTGTGTGATCTTCTAGATCATGTGATGCAATTGGCAAATGTGCATTAAAATTATTGCTTGTTTAGGGAAAAATGGTGGATACATTGTGTGTCAGACAGGCAATTTTTAAGTACTTTCTCCTCCCTACCCTCCTCTCACTGTCTGGCCAGGTAAAATGCCAGTGCATCCCCCATTTCTCTTTGTGTCTGATTTTTCACTTTTTATATGACTTCTGTGGGATTTCTATGACTTTGTTTTTCAGTTGTATTTATTGTAAAACATCTAATGTACACACAGTTAAGACCTTATTTTCACATTGACAGGTGATGAATCCTTTCACCTGTTGATGGTTTGCTTAATAATGAAAGTATATAATTAGGGACACTACCCAAATGTACTGCCTCAGCCCATTGTTAACACAAACTTGGATGATAAAACACATTTGCTTAATCACACCTGTGGGTGAATTCCGTTTCGCTACATGTGGATCATTTTTGGAGAGCAGTCCACAAAAGTGGTTTATGATCTCATCTGGGAGCATGTGAACATGCCTATATAACGCACATTGTGCACAAATGAGTGTTGTGTTGCAATATTTATACATTTTGTTTAATGTTTCACCTTTCTGTTATAAGAGGGAAAATGTTTGAAGCTGCTGGCTCAATACTACAATGCAGCATTTCTCAACTACAGTTCCTAAGACACAGGCACTTACACATCTCACAGGAACAGTTTTCAGTTCTTTTCAAGTGCCTTCTGAGCAATGTGAAGGATCTTTATTAAAACTGCCTGTTCAATATTCTTTGTCTTGCTGTTCAGTACATTGTGTGCTATCTAGACTGTGGAGAGCTTAATCTTACCATGCTGAATCGTGCATTTGAACATTCAAATTCATTTTGGATAAATTACCATTAAAACAGGAAAACAGAAAATCTATGTTGATATCACCATTGACTTTTTAGCAAATTAAATACAATTGCTAGCCATTAATCTGAAACTTTAAAAATCCCTAATTGCATTATTTCAATGGTTAAGCACACTTGTTAACACAACAGAACTTTGGAAACAATTGAAAAAACACAATAAACACACACATATAAACATCTTTGACCATAAAAAAAATCCAATCCCTAATATACCGCATGGCATAAAATGCATCAGATAATGTGCTGAAAAATGAGATATATCTTCAGGAAATCAGCTTCCACTCTGTCGTTGAAGATTCCCCATCCCCTTGGGTGACATAGAATAAAATGACCCATTTGTCATTACCTGTCAATAGCTCCAAAATGTAAAATACAATTGGCTAAAACCTGTCCCCTTTGGCCTTGTATATTCTCCTTCATCTCCCAAGGAGATGCCAGAAAGAATATTACCCCTTCCCCTCCCCACATACAAAACACCCTGTAGGATAATGAAAATTACTACAGAAAAAGAATTATCCTCACTCCTTTTCAGGCATACAATATCACTGCTTTCAAATTTCAGCATGATCAAAAAAATATATATTGTCAATCACTTTGTGCATAATGATACTATTCTACTTTAAAACATCAGTAAAAGCCATTTCTATCATTTTTTTTTAAATCCTTTGATTCAGAGCTTTAACCACCTCAAGGTCATTTTAAATATCTATAATTAGGAGCCCCAACCTTACACACCTCACAGTCATTCCACATGTGCATATGCTCTCTACCTCCCGTTACATACTTTTCTTCAATCTTCTGCACTCAGAATACATTCCAATGAATTTTAATACCAGTTAAAAGGGATTTAATCTCACAGGTGAAAAAAGTGCACTCATTTTTTCAGGTAAAGGCTATGATTCTCTAAAACCAGAACAGATGTTCTGTTGTCAACATGGGGTGTCCGACGCAAAACCTCCAATGAACTGTTTCATCTGTCTCTTTCTTTAATCTATCTGACCCACTTCAAAAAATAAAAGTTCACTCAGGAAAAAAATATACTGTCTATTTTTGGTAATTTGCAATGAATAACCAATTCCCTATTACTTTACAGGGTTTTATTTAAAAGAAATCAAAATGTTCATGTTCTGAATAAGGGTCTGTTCACACTGGAGTTTTTTTTGTACACAGTACATTTCAGTTTGGAGAACAGAGTGAGTATCAAACTTCAAAGTCAATCACATCTAACCTAGATATAGACTACCATATAGAAAACTGTTAGAAGTCTATTTTGGAAATAAATATGAACAAAATGATCAACACACCTTCGTTTACAGACAGGCAATTCAATGATATGAGCCCTAAAAAAACAGTTATCCCAACACTACAGACAATGTATTATGCAGCAATGTCCAAGGAAACTTGGATGGGAGAGGAGGCAGAAACATTTTTAGAAATATGGAGAGAAAGCAAAATTCAGATTGAGCCTGATAAACCACACAAAGTTTGAAAGGGTTTATTTTTTCTAAGAGGTTGAAAGAGTAAGGAGTTATGAGAACCTGCTAACAATAAAGAGATGAAGTAAACGGAGATGCAATCAATGTATTTCACACAAACACAAACAAGAAAAAAATTAACAATGTGTGCCATTTGGATGATACTTTTATCTAAAGTGACTTACATTTTTACCTGTATGTAATAAAGATGTGTTTTGCTAAACCAACCCCAGCAAAGTGATATAAGGGTAGAACAGCAGCAACCAAACAGGAATTTGAACCTACAATCTTCTAGTTTTCTTTTAGTTATGAGTCAAGTTATTGCCCTAAGCCCAAACAATAAAGAAACCGTAAACGAAGATGCAACTGCTACTTTAACAAAGTACAGTTAAGTGCAAATCAGCTAACATATTGATTATCACTGATGCAAACCAAATGAACCAAATCAGTTTTGCTTGAAACAAACTCGATGATATAAAACATTTAGAAACAATGGATAATAATGCCCCCAAATTGAAAAACCCATCCAGCTTATATGAGTATATAATGTTGTAATGATTCATACAGGTGCAAGGTAAAATGGTTAAATCAGGATTCATGAATCTCTCTAATATTACAGATGCACATCCATTAGACAAACTCAGTTAGTAACTGCTTGAGAAGCAAAAGATGTTCTTCTTTACAGGTTTGATACCTCGTCAACAGAGCACGCTTTGGAACATTAGCAGACGTTATCAGACCATGTCTTTACATTGTAAGGTTCTCTTCAAACCCATGTCCTGGACAGTGTACTGGCAAACTTCCAAGAAACTGATTAGAACTTAGCTAAATTGAGTTCTAAAAGATGAAATTGCTGTATTCACTTGGAAGATCGTTATCGTATGCATATCCATTAACAGGTAATTGATTGCCACTTGATGAATTGATTGACAGTAGGTTACTGGATGTCAGTGTGAAATGTTGCTTCAGAGCTCTATCATCCCTCTTTCATGTGAAAAGGTAATTCACATACAGAATAATCTATTTACAGATTTCATATTTCCAATTATAAGAGGCTTACCTAGCACAGTAGCATAACATCCTTCTTTGGAAAAAAAAATGTTAACTACATTGCAAACTATCCTGTACAAACTATTGTATCTCTTTTGTGTCCTCATTTTTTTCCCCAATTTCAAGGCTTCTGTGTCTAAATATGTTGGTTTTTTTTGTCTTGTACAATAGTACTAATGGCTCTGTCAACATGAACATTAGTTACAGTCATTGTTTTCTGAAATTTGAGTTGTTCAATAACTAAGCAATGCCTGCAGGAAGGAGGCAAATTGTAAATACAATTATGCCTATGATATTACTGCCTGCTTGGTAGAGGTTTCATTTTTACACCAAGGAACTGCTTGAAACAGATGGGTCTGTCTTTAAGGATACGTAATCAGAAACTGTATATAAAAATCTTTCTGATCCAATGCACTACTAGAAACCTACCATTTTTGTTCCTTTGTTCACAAATGCAATTTCTCACAGTAAATCAGAGCTTTACTCTGAGAAAACAGAATCTTTACATGGATTTTTGTTATGTTGATTCATGCTAGCCTTTAAAAAATTGACAACTGAGTTTACAGCACTGTTCTTCCACAAGATAAAAACTATACTTTAATTTAGATCTACTCCCAAATGCATAATGTGTTTCCTAAGTAATTCAATTTCTTGAAAACCATACTACATATCTCGCAATATCCAATGGCATACTGTTAAGACTAGAAAAGTGACTAGAGGATGATGTTATTCACCTCTACCATACAGTTCAGTGCAATTCTCAGCTTAACTTCTAAACTTGAGCATATTCCACAGCCTTGTAAACCTTTTATTTTCACTGGACTCAACTGATCTGAAAGCATTCCATACAAAAAATGTATTAAGATAGAATTAGCATTCTGTGTTAAAATACACACTGTGCAAAAAGTCCTTAGAACATATTAAGAGAGGGGAGAGGAGAGTGCAGGTGACTTTACTACATTCCTTGACTCCCCATCAACTTTATTGATGTAAACATGATGCCAGGCAGAGATGGAGGTCATAGTGCTGACCCTGTGATATTAGAGGTCAGCACTTCTA